TTAGCTTAGAAAACAAAATGGGATATATCAAAAGGACTTCGGATCTCCACATTGCAATTTCTGTTAACATATAAATCTGTGTATTTTCATATTTAGAATACTGTATAAAGCTTCATACTCTTCAGATTATGTTTTCCAAATGAGGCCACTTAGAGAAAATGAATATGTTCTTGTTTGAAATGAATTTTTTTAATGTGATGTCACTAAGAATCAGACAAAATGAACTCTAGTCTTTGTTTTTAACTTTGGTATCTTGGATCTCATTCCCTCTGTCTTTACAGATGGCATAATTACTTATCTTACATTTTTTGAGGAATTGAAAGCATTTTCTAATGGAATCAAAATAATCAAAATGAAAATGTTTTGACAAACGCAAAGTTTCACACTAGTGGATGTTATTTATAAGTGACAAATTCTCCTAGTGAAATTCTCCTGCATTAGTCGATTCATCACCTATTTATTGAATAATATTCTGTGCCAGGTACTGTGGTAGGCACATGAAATTACAGTTATTTTCCAGAGAAACTTCTGATGATTGTTTAAACTACACTTAGATAGGACTTGAAAATATTTTTCGTTTTTTAGCTTCATTACACCATCATAAAAACATGCAGAGTTTTTAAAATGCTTCCTTAAATATTGTTTTGCTTGCTTCATGCAGTGAGGTCCTAAGATGAACTCCTTGGTATAAAGTGCTCCATATTTTGTGCTCCAGTGTTCCAGTTTATAAATTTTCTTTCACAAAGATAATATACATGAACTATAAATAGCTCACATTCATCCTGAGCTTCCTGAGGAGAGAAGCTCTGTGGGGTCTTTGGCGTCACTGAGGAGAAAGTTCTTCACATAAGAATTTGGAACTAAGAGAATCTCCACAGGAAACTCCAGCTGTCAAAAAGATCCTTGTATGCCTGGCTTGTGAGTAAAGTGGTTAAGAAAATGGGCCTGGAGGTAAAAGTGATTTCTAAGCCTTGTGTCACATTTTAGCTGAATAAGTCTTGGCAACTCACCTAACCTTGCTGAGCCTCGGTTTCCTTGTCTGTCGTGTGGGAAGAGGAAAAGCCGTGCCTCAGACTTTGCCCATGCAGGCTAAGGACTGGCCCAGGCGTACAAGAAACACTCGGAACGATAATGCCTAGGTCCCTCTGACCAGCGCGCATCTTCCAGTCTCCTTCATTGAGTCCTGGAAGGAGGCCTGTGTGGTCCTATATATCGTTCACAGTTTAGAGGGCACTGATTAGATTGCCTCAAAGCATGGACTTGAGGATCGCCACAGTGAGCCTTTCTTAGCATGAAGCTAATTATTTCTATAAAAGAAGTGAAATAATTCTGAATATATTCATCCTCGGTAAAATCTGCAATGACAGAACCACATTAACCGTGCCGTTCTGGCTCTTCCACAGAGTGATTTTTCAGTTTGACATGGGTGCACACAGGGATTTTTAAATTTTTCTCTTAGCCAAAGTAGATCACCTTCTGGGCTCTAATTGGATCGGCAGTTAACATGTGGGGCTTTTCTTCATGAGATGAGCATTGTTCCTTGCATACAGGATTGAGATAATTGCCTCTGACCCCACCGTGTGGGGATCCAGTGTCAGTGAGAAGTAAGAGGCTTGCTGTGACTTGGTGGCAGATGATAGGTGAGAAGCTAGTGCTGATATGGGGAGGTGGGAGAAGGAAAGAACACCGAGCTTCCAGGATGAAGTAGAAAGTAACCCATCTCGTTTCAGGATATAAATATTACTCTTTTATTCGTGTGGATCAAATACTGCTAATTTTCAGTAAGCGAGTCTGATATTATGATCTGACATTAAAAGCTGTTGGTTTCATTCACAACCAAAGAGTGTATAAGACTCATGCTTGGAAATATTGGCAGCAAAATAAATTTTTGACTACCAAACATGATAACGACAATGAAAATTCAGTTAATTTGTGATGGTGTAATTATTTCCAAGGAAACGATAATTTATAAATGATCCTACCTTCTCTGTATTGTACTTAAAGTGTACATAGATAGGAGTTTGTGTGTCTGATAACTTTGTACTGTGATGCACTTGGAGAACATGCTGTGAATCTCTAATTATGTTAAAAATTATTTTCTTAGTGCAGCTTTATACTCATTATATACTCCACACATTTAGTTTTGAATAGATTCCTGGCATGATAATTACATAATCATTCAGTACAGTAGAAACATCATTATGGTCAAATACTAATTAGCTACTAAAATGAAACAAAACAGAACCTAGTTCACAGCTTATTATAAAAAATGATTTAATATGGTACAAAACCAAATGTATAGTTAAAATTATTATTTTGTTGAGTGTGAGTCATTTTTTCTTTTTGCATGGGAAGGAATCAGTGTTTCAGATGCTTATTACCTAATTTCCTGCTTGGGCACACATTACACTTTATTCTCCCAGCCTCTGTGACCAGCTCTGATGTATCGTGGAGCATCAGATGAACATGCCGTGGGGACTGCAGGCTTAGTGTGCCATAGGTGCCCGCTGGGCCTCAGGCTTCTGCAGAGTGAGGAGGTTGGCCTAAGTCTAAGAAGTTTCACAAATTCTTTGCTTAGTAGCTCTGTGGTTTTGGTAAATCACTAATTTCTGTTGTTCTAGTTTGAATACCTTTGATGCAGAGAATGAGCGACCTTCTACTGTTTTTCCACCCCAGCGCACCTTAGGAATATAGGACAGTCCCATCAATAACAGTGAATCCTGACAATTGAAATTCTCCAGGTGCTTCTGTGACGGGGGAACAGGCAGGTGACAAGTAGGCTGTGGTAGAGGGCAGGCGGAGGATAGAAGTAGGTTGGCAAATCCCTCAGGTAGGTCTGTTGAGCACATTTCCCAAGAGGGCCTCACCCTCACTCTCCTTGGGAGTGGCTTCTCTGGCTAAACCGGGGTTTTGTCTGGTACTGGGACGTTTCAGTGGTTTTTGTAAACATGTTTGTGATTACATGGCTTCACTTCTTCTCTTGTATACAAGGTATATGTGGAATCTTTCTTACTGATAAGCAAAGCAAGTTAGTCTTACTGTTCTGTTCTGTATTATAAGCCTAATAGGAATTAGAGACATCCTTATTGTCATATTGTCACTTCTGGTTTCTC